ATATACACATGCATGTGTATATAAGAACTCCAGAAATGGAGCCCAGAGTAAACTCCGTTCACCGGAAGGAAATCCCATGAATAACCCAACGGGTTTCGTTTGTTTCCGTTCCTATGCGACTAAGTAGCACGGAAACGTCCAGGAAACTTCGCTTGCAATCGTTTGCGGTGTATTTAGTTTCTTCCTTCTATTTTTCATCATGGATTTCCCTTGATTGCGAAGCAATGGAAAGGTTTGTTTCCGTTTGAACTATAATCCAAAATAGCTGTTTGTATCAGAACGCAAAACTTGCTGGGAACGAACTCTGTTCAATGTCGCGGATGGATCAATAGTTTTCTAAAGGGCATGACTTTTCAAGTACAGTACAGTACAGGGATATAATTACTGCACTTGTGAAGGAAAAAAGAGATGCACATTTCGTTATGTTACCTAGCTTTTTTTTTGCGCTATCAATCACGATCTACGATCATAATTTCTGCGATTTTAGGTGAATGAGGTATTTCGAGGTGATGCAATCAGTGATGGATTTTTCTTTACGCGGCTAAATGTCGAGTTAATGAATATATCTGCGCAAATAAATTGATGTTTACTTGATCGCCATTTTAGAGTAAATCCGTGCGAACTTTGATGTTCGACAATTAAAATCTACATTTTGATTGAAACAAACTGTATAATATCTAGAACGCTCGCATGTGCTGTTGAACAAAAAATTTTGTAGAATATTACAATGTTTGAGGAATCGGAATTGCATACAAAACTTCGGCGTGAGTGAGCATTCAGTCAAGTACTCAATGTACTGTACTCGAATACCATTGATGGATAATCAAATGGCTCTTTCAGTAATTGTTACTTAAGTTAAGTGACGCGAACTCAAGATCGAGTAAGTGTCAGGATCTCTTGTACGATCCTTGAGACGACTTATTGAAGGTACAGTATTTATATTCTTCGTTAATTTGATATGAGGCTTCTCTTCAATTATTTTAAATTTTGCGGATTCCTTTCAGACCATAAACTGAGTGAAAACTCAAATATGAGAAGGGAATCTTTATTTTTTCTTGAAACCGATGTAAAAAAAAATCCAAGAGTATATACTGTTATTCTCCCCATTTCAGGAACAGCATTCGAGAGAGTAAAAATAATTGAAAGCGTGATCAGGCAATGTTTTAATTGACCATTGAAGCATTGAAAATTTATTTCGGATATAGCTCCATAACTTCAAAATTCTTACACAGCATTAATCAGCACTGGAAAAAACTTCAATTATACCCCATCCACACCGTAATCTGATTCCCTCTTTTATTTCCAAAAACACGTGTGTGGGCGAGGTGAATAAATCCGTCAATCCTGGACCCAAAAGCCAGGGAAAATCATTTCATTTCAGAATAAGCTATAATAGACCCCGAATGATCCTCATGAAGAGGTGGGAAGAGGATTACCCGAAAGATTCTCGAATCAGACCAGCTCTTATAAGATACATGGGAGTCGACTCACTGTTTGCCTACGCGAGACACGAGCTGGAAATCGATCTTGAGTTCCTCGTCTTCGTCTATGTTGGGCAGACCGAGAGCCGCAGAAGAGTCCTTGGATGACATCCTGCGATCAATGAGCGGCATCCGCCGTGGCGACGCTGGCACGGGGGCGCCACCGCCGACGCCGCCGCCAGTGCTGCCACCGCCACTCGCATTTCCCGCATATGAAGGAACTGGACAAGGAACCGTTGGGCAAAATGTAGCGGGTATTGGAGCACTTGCGGAAGTGCTGCAAGTTCCTGTGGTCGTCGGAGCTGCCGGAAAAATAAATGAGACTTAATGGAGATATCCTATAGGGTTGAACACAGAAAAAAATTATTGAAAGAGAAAAGAACGTCGGAATTACAGGCGTATTCTTGGTCAGGTGTCGTTGAAGCTCATTACCTCTAGTAAGTTTTCGTGGGTCCTTTTTTTGAAAAATATTCTATACACGACGGAGCCCCTATAGTGAATATTCTGTTTTCCTTGATTCACGGACGAAAAGTCTTAGGTTTATGTCTGTTATGTGTTATCAAAGAAAACTTCGTGGCTTCAGTGCAAAGGCCTATAATCCTATATAGTCAATATTTATTTGTAGCTCATCAGATTCCAACTAATTTCAAGTGGATTGACTTATAATTTGAATATCTAAGAAGAAAATTTATCCAAGAATGATTTAATAATTGATAAATACCGTATTCGACAATTACTCGTTTACAAAATATTGCGCTCAAAGTCCCCTACTTATTTAGAAGTCATTATTAAGTCGCTCTCATTCTTTCAATCTAACGAATGTATTCGTTTCTTGACATGTTGACATTTTTCTTACCATTACCGTTTTCTTCAGTCCTGAACGTCTTGACATGAGAGTTTAAAACTGTTTATCATTTTCAGAGGTTGAAAGCTTGATGATTTCTTTGAGGAGATTTAAAAAAAATTATTGATTTTGCAGAGTCAAATCGCATGCATAAAATAGATCACTCGTGTCAACTGAGACTGACGGAATAGATTCAAACAATTTTCAGTATTATCGATCAGAAATGCTTCAATCAAAGACTGATACTATATTAGGAGCATGGCCCATCGCCAGAGAAAACAAACTGTGCCACTGAACGTCAAAATACCTCTGCGTATATAACTTTTCGGGACCACTTTACTACACTACTACAGTATACTTTCAATTGAGCTTTGTTGATTTCACCATCCGTTACGTGACGATTGATGAGCGCGGGCGGAAATCAAGCAATTCCAGGAAGTTAGGCAGTATATATCATTCAAGTTTGAAAGAAACATACTCGGTGCAGCAACTGATGGTACGGAAGGCGAGGTTTTGCTTGGCGACGCTGCAGCAGGGGACGTCACTGACGGCGTGTCGGGAGACTCCAGCTCCCGACGTCCAGCAGGCGGAGAGATAGATGACGCTATGCCCGCCATGCGAATGCTGCAATATAATTATGAATGAATTTTCAAATGTTTGGGGAAAAAGCGACTCCACGTGATTCTCCATTTCAATAGTGTCAGTGCAACGTATCGAAGGGCGTTGCAATGGAACCGGGTTTCCCGTGAGGTAATAATTATATTTACAGTATTTTCAAAAAATTTCAGGCCTTTTAAACAAACTGAATGATGCCTCACATGACCCAATATTACCTCGATTTTGTGCATCTATATATAAATATATTGCCTGTTCATCGGTGATTGTTGTTTTGATCCAAGGTCGACAACTTAAAAGTCCCATAGATTACTTTATCCATTGAGGGCCAGTTGATGATTCAGGCGACATCTGCACAACATGAACAGAATTACTCTCATTCATCGGTTCGTTTTCAAGCGATTATAGCACAACTTCTTCTTGTAGGAAGTGCACTTGAATTCGCTTTTGGTCACGCAATGACTAGGGGACGTGAAAAACATTTGATGATGAGGTACAGTAGTACAGTACCTCAAGAACTTCTAAAACCTTCAATGGTGAAAACAAACAGGTGCGCTTCCAAAGTATAGTGTAATCCCGTGCTGATACAGTGAACCCTATTTAAATTGAATTTCAATGGACCAAAAAGAAAATCTAGTTGGGGAAAAAAGCATTGTAAGGGAAAATAGAAAAAGAATTATTTCAACTTGTAATTGCTGATATTCTGCGCGTTAAATTGCTTCATATATGAGTTTACAGGATGCTGGCCTTCGGGGCAAAGATTAATTTTGCCCATTAGTCTTTCACTTCTTTTCAAAACATACCAAGTTACACTTTTATGGCTCTTCTCTCTTCTGTATCAAGGAAATATTTGCCAAAAAACCTCCAGGAAATTCGAGTTTTGGAAATTTGCGGAGGAAAGCTTTCGAAATAGAGAGGTTTTTGATGCCTTTGTTTCAAAGGAAATTCAGGCAGGGACTTCAAAAAAAAATGTCGACTTCCAGAGATTCCAGTTATTGAGGTTCAACTGTATTTTAATTGCATTTGTATACAAGACCTGATGGTCGTCAGGCTCGAGCTTCTTGGGCGCCTTCTTGGGCTGCTTGTCCTCGGAGAACCGGAGCCCGAGGGTTTGTTGACAGCCAAAGTGCCGCTGCTGCCAAGACCGTCGGCCCCACGAGAAGTGGCAGTGCCGCCCTTACTGAGTGCCGCCAGAGGCCGCAGTGGGGAGTCTGTGGCGCTGTTGCTGCTGCTGCCGCTGCCTCCAGCTGCAAGGCTCCTTGCTGCAGCCAGACTCAGCGCAGTTGTGGAGTTTCGCCGCCGCGTCGCCAGATGGCGACTCGCTGCGCCACCGATCATATTAGACTGTTCAGAAGAAAATAAATACAAAAAGAGAAATTGAGTAAATCAATCAGTCTCTTTAATTAAGTTACATGAAAGAACACTTGGGTTGGACCGATTCCCTGAGGGACTTTGGATCTTCTTGGTCATACGCTGCACCTGTTTCTCATTTTTTAAGAGAGGCCCCGAGATGCGGACGTAATTGGTGCTTGCACCATGTGACTGTATAAGAGCATCAGCATGCTGGATCACATTTCCTGATTTCCCATAGACTTCAATGGGAACTTGTTTAATTGATTCTCCAGTTCTTCAGAAATTAGGAATAAATCTAAAAAAAATTGAATCAAATTGTTTTTCAAATCAAGATTTTAAAAATGATCTTGCAGAAGAAAACCACACAAAATCTGATTTTCTGGCAGAAAAAGGATCACAAGAAGCAGAGCAACCAGAACAAATATTCTTATACAGGTGGTGCCTTGCAATTTGACCTCTCACCGTTTGACCATTTTTTTTTTGGCATTCAAATTTGCTGTGAGGTCAACTCTCAATTTGATCTCTGCCACACAATTTGACCAGTAGAGACACAATGCCATATAGAAAACATGCCATTTGGCATTGTCTTGCAATTCAACTGCTTTGCACTTTGACATTAGTCCAATAACTGATTATGGTCAAATTGCAAGGCACCACCTGTACTACTCTGCAGTCTGTTCAGATGATGTGAAACACTTCAAAAAAAGAAGCTCACAATCACACTGCTTTGATAAGAAATTTGAGAAAATTTGTGATAAATTCATTTTTAACATTTGTAAATACAGTATTAAGAACAGCAGCTCAATTTTTTAAAGAGACTTTGAAAAATATTTTTTTTCTTCCTTGAAAAATTTGGAAAACTGTCCGTGTTTGGAAACTTTGTCCAGATGTTGGTGCGAAATTGTTTGAGTTTCAAAAGTCCAAAAGTTCAATGGTGTGCGAACTGGGGCGTCTGACATTCAAGGTCAGCTAACAAAATTGTAATCACTCCCAGAAAAAACTACCTTTCTTGTGGAAGTGATTTATGGGAACAATAGGTAATACATAAAACTACATCATTTCTTACCTAGAGAGAATGTAGAAGTAGAGCCTTTCAAAAAACCCATCAAAAATATCTGATTGGGTAACAAAAACAGTGTGATGACATTTTCCTCCAGAGAGAGAAAGAGATGACCTGAGCTCTGGGTGACAAGCGGGGGTCAAGTCTAATGCTTTTGTTTTTCTTTCGAATGAAGATGAGTTTGTGTGTGTTTTTAATCTCGGTAGGCAGAAAGTCGATCAAATTGAGTCATGAGCAGATGAGATGGCAGGAACAAGTTCCAGCAGAACATATTTGCATAGCAATTTTGTGCCCCCGCTGTTTTCCCAGGCAACTCATTACACGCGTTCTTCGGACACACGCTGGTGAATTTCCTCTCCTGTTCTCATCTCTACACGGGATGTATTCCTATTTTTGCCATCCTCTTCACTGATTCTCCGGATTTACAGAATGTAAAAAAAGAAAAGAAGAAAGAATTGCCATAAAACTGGGGAAATACGGGTATAGTCCCCATTTTTACCGCAGCCTGGACCTGATTGAAGAAGATTTGATGGCCTGTTATGTTCATCGCCTCACAGAATAAATCTGGCAACGTTCACATTTCTGTCCACTCATCGCATTATCAGCAAGAAAAGGAACCTTGGAAAGTTTATTCTTCCAAGAAAGCAGAGTTTTTCGGGAAAAGCGTCAATTTTTACCGTCAGCCATCGATGGAAAAGAACCGAGGATTTGGAAATTCGTGTTGCATTTGTTACCAGCTGTCCTGGAAAATACTTGCAATAAATTTGTCCCTTTTCAAACATGCAAAAACTGGAATGTTTATTGATTAAATTTTCGGATTTCCATGCGCGGTTGTCATCATCAGCAAGTGGCCCATTTAAAGACGAATGTTGCAAAATTGGAAAACCTTTTTACTGCGAGTGAAAATATGGAATCGAGATAAGCAATGGTGCACCACAAATGGATGCATAATTGCACCCTGACAAACATAACAATCTTTTTTTTAGAACAAGAGGGATCCTTGGAGATGAAGTAGAAAAGATTATAGAGCTTAATTCTCAGAAAAAAACATCCTCTTCTATGAATGAATGAACAGAAAACTTTATTTGCCACTTTTCAGCATTCACAAGGTGCAACTATGGTATCACAAGGTCCTCTTCTATAAGCTGGGGTTCAAAAAAATCCCAGACGAAGGAAAGGAGCATTCAAATGCTTTATGCAAGAGTTGAGTCTTGAACTGCTCAGCAATATCACCCATACCTAGGAAATGTTAAAGAGTGCCCAGATCTTGTTTTCTTGATTGTTTGGTGAATACCAAATGATTGAAAAATTTTATTTGTTATAGGACATCAGTTGATCCGTTGCAAATTTCTTGAAGAAAAGACGCGTTTCTTAAATTGCCACTGTGAGTAACAAAAATCAAATTTTTAACAGGCATGAAAAATTCAGAGAAATATCCAATTTTTTTTCTTTGAAAGAATATGTTTCGAGAAATGTTGGCTATAGTTCATACACCCCGATGAAGAATTGTTTGCCCTTTTAAAATCCAAATGAAGGTTGATGTCAAAGTAATCCATGAAATGTCGTACATATTATCTTTCTCAAATCACGGTTCATCAGGTATTTCATGCTGGGAATCACAGCATTTGCTATATGATGAGAAAGAAAAACTTTCACCCGTATCATCTTTCCACATGAAACAATGCTACTCGGTAAATTCGTGCAAAATCGTGATAAAATCTCTTCTGTCAGTCATTCTGCAAAAGTCTCTGTTTCAATTTGCCGGAAAGCACAAATATCTGCCGAGAATCCCGAGTTTAATTCAATTTCCTCGTTTCTGGTTTCTTCAAGATACTTTATTTCTTTGACCCGAATATCTCTCGGCTTTCGGGTGAAATCTGCCCAGAACACGAAAATTCGGTACGAGTAAATTCGGTCGTGGTCAAGGCAAAAGCTGGGTTATTTCCGGGCTGTAGAGCCAGTAATAATGACGGATTGTTCTCAGGAAACAGCGTACGAGTTCGGACTACGTACATGATTTTTCTAGCCTTGAAAATAAAATGAGAATGAAAAGCAAAAAAATTTAGTAGATTAAAAAATTAATCTAAAAAACCACATTTTCAAAAAGCAAAAAATAACCTTAAATGTGGTGCGCATCTATTTCATTTGTATTTCACTTCTTCCCAACAATCTCCATGCGCACCACGTTTAAGGTTATTTTTTGCTTTTTGAAAACGTGGTTTTTTAGATTAATTTTTTAATCTACTATAATTA